ATAGTTTGAAGCATTATAGCTTTACGCGTGTGTCAGATATCGGTAGTTTGCTTCACCGCTTTCGAAAGAAAAGAAGACTCAACGACGAGGATGGGATTCGAACCCACGCCGGCAGACCCCAATGGATTAGCAGTCCATCGCCTTAACCAATCAGCCAAATCATCACATCATGCATTTTCTTTGCTAGAGATCGCCTATTTTATGCGAAAATGTGATTTAGCATAATACATAATAAAATATCATGTTATAGTTTGAAGCTACAGCTTTACGCGTTTCTCAGACATCGGAAGTTTGTTTCTCTGCTTTCGACAAAAAGAAGGCCAATCGACGAGGATGGGATTCGCACCCACGCGGTCAGAGCCCAATGGCTGAGCAGTCCTTCGCCTTAACCGCTCAACCTCGTCATATCATGCCTTTTCTTTGTTAGAGATCGCCTATTTTTTGCAAAATGTGATTTAGCATAATAGAAAATCATTTTATATTTTGAGGCTACAGCGTTACGCGTTTGTCAGATATCGGTAGTTTGTTTCATCGCTTTCGATAAAGAGAAGATCATTCGACGAGGATGGGATTCGAACCCACGCGGGTAGAGACAATGGATTAGCAGTCCATCGCCTTAACCACTCGGCCACCTCGTCATGTCATGCCTTTCTTTGTTAGAGATCACCTATTTTATATGTATATGTGAATTTTCATAATAGAAAATCACTTTCATATATATTTCGAAGCTACAGCTTTACGCGTTTGTCAGTTATCGGTAGTTTGTTTCACCGCTTTCGACAAAAAGAAGGCCAACCGACATGGACGGAATTCGAACCCACGCGGGCAGAGCTCAATGGATTAACAGTCCATCGCCTTAACCACTCGGCCACCTCGTCATATGATGTCTTTCTTTGTTAGAGATCACCTATTTTATATGTATATATGAATTGTCATAATAGAGAATCAATTTCATACTTTGTAGCTACAGATTTACGCATTCTCAGATAAACGGAAGTTTGTTTCACCGCTTTCGATAGAAAGAAGATCATTCGACGAGGTTGGGATTCAAACCCACGCCGGCAGAGCCCAATGGATTAGCAGTCCATCGCCTTAACCAGTCAGCCAACTCGTCATATCCTGCATTTTCTTTGTTTGAGATCGCCTATTTTATGCTAAAATGTGATTTAGAATAATAGAAAATCACTTTTATAATTTGAAGCTACAGCTTTACGCGTTTGTCAGATATCGGTAGTTTGTTTCACCACTTTGAATAAAATGAAGACCCTTCGGCGAGGATATGATTCGAATTCACGCGGGCAGAGCCCAATGGATTAGCAGTCCATCGCATTTAGCCTCTCAGCCACCTCGTCTAATCTGGCTACTCTTCGTTAGAGATCAACTGTTTTATGGCCTAGTGTTCTGTTTTGTTTATTTAACAATCCTACTTTCGGCGTAATGCTAAGACAATGGAATCTCCATAGCGGAAGTCCAAAAGAAATGCAAATAAAATCACGGTTTTTAATGGAAATGAACAAAACAGAAAACTCTTACATAGGGATATGTGATATGGCCTTATAAAAAAATCATTCATAGTTTGAAGCTACAGGTTTATGCATTTGTCAAAATTCGGAAGTTTGTTTAACCGTCTAATGTATACAGATACGTGATATAGAAAATAACTTTCCTAGTTTGAAGCTACAGCTTTACTTGTTTGTCAGATATGGGTAGTTTGTTTCACAGCTTTTGAAAAAACTAGACCCTTCTACGATAATGGGATTCGAACCCACGCGGGAGGAATCGAATGGATTAGCAGTCCATAGCCTTAAAAGCTCTGACACCTCATTACCTAAGGCCTTTCTTTGTTAGAGATCGCCTATTTTAAACGAAATTGTGAGTTGGCATAATAGAAAGTAACTTTCAAAGTTTGAAGCTACAGCTTTACGCGTTTGTTAAAAATCAGAAGTTTGTTTGACCGTCTACTGTTTAAAGATATGTGATACAGAAAATAACTTTTATAGTTTGAAGCTACAGCGTTACGCGTTTGTCAGACATCGGATGTTCTTTTAACCTGTTTCGATAAAAAGAATACCTGTCGACGAGGATGGGATTCGAACCCACGCGGGCAGAGCCCAATGGATTAGCAGTCCATCGCCTTAACCACTCGGCCACCTCGTCACGTTACTACGCTTTCCTTTGGTGATCACCTGTAAAATCTATTACATCAAATTTATACACATTAGATACAATTATCATGGATGTTGAATTTCATTATCTAAGGAGGTAGTCTGTTTAAACAGAAACGAGAAAATTCTGATTATTTGTTTAGAGTTGCTTGCAAATGTTTCATGGCGGCGTAAAGAATGACGCGCAAAATTCACTGAATTTCAAAGAATTGGCATATCCATATGGTAGAGAAGACAAAAAAATATTATAGGTATATTTTGAAATTAGTATATTAAAAGCAAATCAATTTTTGGATTAATTATTAATTTAATGTTATAATTAACTTCTTCGAATATTTTTAGAATAATTCGATTAAATATAGTATTTTTTTAAATATATTTACATATTTATCAGAATATTTACTGAAGTATGGTTACTTATGATCATTTTATGTTTTAGAATTCCGCTAATGTTATTCTAGAAGTGGATGTATTTATAAAATTAGAAACATTAATAAAGTGTTTTTAAAAGCTTTTCAATGAAATTTATGCAGTCATTATAACGCATTAATTTAATATCTCAAAATACACTCTCCCACCCAATTTCATAATATGTAGTTTTAAGATATTTCGTAATTTTTTGCGACATTTCCGTTCCGAAAGGATAAATAAGTATACAAAATTTCAAAACTCTACTAGAAATGTTGTAAAATTCTATTTTTATAGACATGAAACTAGTATAACAAAGCAAATAAAAGTGTATAACAAAGGAAAACCTTTTATGAAAATAACAATTTATTCGGAAACAAATCAAGTGGTCAAATTTTTGAGACAGAATCGAACACCAGTTATCAACAACTGTCAGCAAAGTTCACCGCCATTTTGAAGTTTGAGATAACATAGAAATCGTTTACCTCAGATATTATATAGGTATCTCTATCGTTTGCAGGGCGGTGCCAAAAGTCCTTGACACATTTCCAAATTTAATAAATAATCAAAAACTATGTAATATGAATGCCGTGTTTTGCTAAATTGCATTGCGCGTCTTAAAGTGTTCTTGCCATAAGGAAATCCTTAATAATATAATAAATGCGAAAGTGTGTCTGTCTGTTGTTTGGATGGAAATTGTCAGGGTGTTAGTTTGACATCCAGTATGGGCATAGGGTATGGACATCATCTTAAATTCAATATTTTTGACTGCAGACAACAATTAAATAATTAACAAAGAAAGGCACATTGACTCAGCGGTCCGCGATTAAGATTACTAATTTGTTTTTAAAATCAACCGTCGTGTGTTCCTTAAGAAAAGCGTAAACATGTGCAATAACTTATTTCTAAAATCAACCGTCACGTGAACGTCAGGAAAAGAGCAATCACGTGTAATAAAAAAATTAAAACCGAAAAAAAAAATAAACGGTATAAATTTAAAACCGAACACCACGTGATCATAAAGAAAACCGTGATCATGTGATCCTACTGGGAAAATAAATAAATATTAATTTATTGCTGCTGGTTTTCCTGAAATAACTCAACTCGAACGCTTGATATTAATTTTCTGAGTTTGCAGTCTATTTAATTTTAGTCATTCTTAACAGATTTTATTCAAGAAATTGTCGACGAATTGATGCTGGATTAATTATTATTATTTTAAATTGATGTTTGAAGTTCTAAACTATTTCGCATAACAATTTGGCTAAAACTTGGCCTCAAATTTTTTAAATAATTTCTGTCAAAAAATAATAAAGTGCCGTTTTCCAATTAAATCACTTAATTCGGGAGGACGCACGCTACGAAGAGAAACTCGAAGACGCACAAGGGGGTGTGCGACACCCCAAAACGTTATTTCGCTATTTTAGCAAAACTAGCAACATTTTGTGCTATATCTGTTCCAAATGATTTTTACTTCTTTTTTCTTCGAAAATATTGCAATAGTTTGTATTCTCTCAGTATAAACTATTTCTTTTTTTTATATATTTAGTCTAGACACCTATTTAATATGCAAGTTTTATAAATAAACTAAAGACAGAAGCTCACAATACTTTCTTTATTAAATTGGATCCAAATATAGCTGATTTTTACACAACGGAATCAAACTAAATTTCCACAAAGCGTAGTTCTTCAAGAAGTGCCACAATTCATTTCGCTACTCGGTAAATATGTGCCCACGAGGGCGAAAATTTCTAGTTACAACTAAAACAGTACTTTGGCTTTATTCATTTTAGTAAATTGAACTCCTGTCAAGAAGCACATGAAACTCCGAAATTTGATTTATGTTGAAGGAGAAAAGAAACGGAGAGAAAAAGGATAATAAAGCAAATGCTCTGAATATTTGTCTTGGGCTGCTCCGAAAGTCTAAATATTACTGTAAACTCCCACGCTTCAGTTTATACTATACTGACACATCATTGCTCGGACAGAAATCTTTTAATAGACATGATATAGTTGCAAGAATTTTTACATTAAAATTGAAAAAACTGTTAATTATAACTAAAGGGAGAATATTGGGTTTTATGCATTCTATTTAGTTGCAGAAGCGGGGCTTTCCACACTTCCATATTTTAATTTGGTTAAAAGAAAAGCTGAGATCCAATCAAATCGATAATATTGTCAACGCCGGAATACCTGACCCAAGCAGTGATTAGTAATTACACGATATTATTATTAAAAAATTGATACACGGGCACTGCGGTCTTGACAATGTCCATTCCCCATGCATGAAAGATGAAAAATGTACAAAGGAATTTTACGAAGCTTCAAAAAGAAAGACTTTCCTTCTCAATCTACTCTTAGCTCAAATTCGTAAAGACACAAAAAAACATGCTGTTTCAGTAGTGAGAGCTGTAGAATTGTAAAATATTATAGCACTTTAAACTGTTGGTTTGGGATGAATGTACAATGTCCCACAAAAGGGAAGTTGAAGGTTAAATCGAAGTATGAAATATATTAATAACAACCAAAGTATCATGAGAGGGAGGGAGATATTCATGGCAGGCGATTTTAGAGAGATTCTATCTGTAATAACTAGAGAACACCGGTAGATGAAATTAATGCATGTTTAAAGACGTCTCCGCTATGGGAGCATGTCAAAAATTTTAATCTCACTACGAATATGAGAGTTCGACTGTTCAACGACACTGAATCAGGTCAGTATGTGACTACTGTTTTGAAAAATGGCGAAGGTCGATTTTAAACAGATTCAAAGGGTGAATCTGTCTTTCTGCATTGAACGGAGGATTTTGAAAAATTGTTCATAGCTGAGA